CCGCGAACAGGTGCACCAGGGTTCTCTTCCCTGGGGCCGTAGGTCTCCGGCTTGAAACTGTCGATCTCGTTCTGGGCACTTCCCACTTCTGCGAGGAAGCTCGTCAAAGCAGTGTGGAGGTCGCCAACAGTAGATTCCGCGGCACCGAGGGCGGCTACCATCGCTTCCCCCTCAGGACCGCCAGCTGAGCGAGTGCTGCGTTCACCATCGGCAACGGTTGCAGCGGTTGCGTTCGGACTCCTCAGCGTCAGAAATTGGAGAAGGAGTTTGTCGTCGTCGCCGAGTATGTTGTCGTCGTCTCCCTTTTGGTAGTGCCGAACAGCCATTGCGATAAAATGTTCACCCACGTTGGGCGGGTCGGGCACGCCCGGGTCAGGCTCGGGGTTGAAGAGCGCGGTCGAACCAAAGAGCGGTCCGCGCCCGGTCATGTAGGACTCGTACTCGCCGGTTGAGAACAGTGCATCGGCGCCAGAGTGCGAGCCGGCGACGGCCAAGACGCACAGGTGGAGAACCGTGTTGGCCATGCCTGCGAGGGGCCAGCACGGAGGTAAACCGATTACCGTCGGCCGACGGTAAGGTACTCTCGTAATCTGTCGGAGGGGACACGGCCAACACGCTGCGCAGGGGTGGGCTCGGATGCACTGGTGTGAGTGCCGAATGCGACACCTGCGAGCGAAGGAGGCAGCTGGGAGTGAGAGTGTGGGAAGCCGGAACATGCACATGCCCGTATGCATGTACGAGGATGGAGCGCGAGCTGTGTGGCCACTTGGAGGCAGACCGTCTCTGCTGCGCGGCGCAGCGCTTGTCGGTGGCGCGGCGCAGCGTGCTCGCGCGCGGGAGAGACGGCGGAGCGGCGGGGCAGGCTGGGGCGGCACCTTTGCAGAAACTTTGGGGTGCGTCGCGTTTCCTCGACTGACACGTGGCAAACGGCGTGCAAGCAGTGCCCGCCGCGGCCAGCAGCGCCGTCGCCGCCGTACGATCAAATGCGGGCGCCGCTGATTCGCGATGCACTTTTGGATATTGTCCGCCGAGCTAGATTTTTCCGAGGAAAAGAATTTCAGATGACGACGTCGGCAAGGGGGAGTGTGTGTCGTCGCGTGTCCTTGTCTGGTGTTTACTAGCTCCGAGTAGAGGGGGCGTTCTGCTGCTAGGGGAAACCTGGAGCGCGGTACTAACCCTCGGAGACCCGTGTTTATTTTACGTGCAAACCGCACCCCCAGGGCTACTCGAGTAGGGCTCTCTTCATCTTGCCCGCAACCCGATCCCGATCATCCGGCCCGCTGGGTGCGCTCCTCAGCTCCCCGGCCCTGGATGTGAGGTTGATGACTGCAGTCCAAGTGCCACAAGATGTTATGAAAACAAACGCAACGCGGACACACGCACATCGCTCTCGGGCTACTTCATGTTCACAGGTTCGACACAGGTGCGCCACAGACACACCCACACACAGTACCAAAAGAGGAAGAAGACCGCGCGCGCTGGCTGGGGCGGGGCCACGACCGAAGAAGCGAAGGAGGGGGAGGCGGGCCCCGCAGCCGCTGCCTAACCAGCGGAGAACGAACGGGAGGGAGGGCCGAGAGGAGGGAGGAGCCCCTCCGGATCGAGGGAGGGAGGGTGGGGAGGCCCTGAGTTGGGGGGCCCTGAGTAGTGACGTCGAGTTAGAGTGTGCGTCGTGTGCGTGTCTGGTGTTAGTTAGCTCCGAGCAGAGGGTCGTCGGAATACTCTCCTCGGAGCGTTGGTATCCTCGTCGTCGTCCTCGGCCGACACACGGAGGTCGGGCGCGAGAGGTCTGCATCGCCTCGTTGGCCGTGAAGAAGACGGCGTCGGCCGGCGCCGAGGCGCCGGCGGCCGTCATCAGGTGCAGCACTATGCGGTCGCGGTATGCCGCATCGCGATATCTCTCTCCGTGCTCGGCCAGCTCGTTTGCGAGCCAGTCCTGCGTCGCCACGGTCTCGGTGCCCTGGAGGGGACCCGTGGCGCGTACACCATGTCGGGGGTCCCTCTCCGGCGGCTCGGGCGGCCGGGGCAGCGAGTAGGCGACCCGAGTCTTGGACCCGGCCTGGCTGCGGCCTGCGCAGATGCACAGACCACGCAGCCCGTCTCCATCACCGCGTGCGCGCGGTCGATGTTTGCGCGCGCAGCTCTGCGTCATGTGCTCGCGCCCGGGCGCTCCGCGCGCACAGCGCTAGCTAAGAGCTAGCTACACTGACCTCAGCCATACCTCCGGGTCCAGCTCGATGGCTGCATTGCACACACGGCAGCTTAGTAGACATGACTGGAAAGTAGCCATCCTTAGTAGACATGGCTGGAGCACTCCGCAGCCATCCCCCCCCCCCCCCCCCCGACTGACAAGTGTAGTGTGAGTTGTGGCTCGCTCCGCCTCGCCGCTACATACTCTAGTCCTGGTCAGCGTCACCACCGCCCCGCCGCTGCGCCGGGCCCGCCGCCGCCCGTAAAGGGCTTTGCGGGCACAGCGGTGGCGGCGAGGGGCGGGCACAGCCTGGCGAGCTGGGCGAGTAGCTCCGGGTAGCCGCGCCTCGGCGAGAGGTGCAGCCCGTCGGCCTGGGGGCGGGGGGGGGGGGTGCCAAGAAGAAAAGGTGAAAAGGTGAAAAGGTGAGAGGGG